AGAGAAATGAGAGAGAGAGAGAGTGAGTGGCCTCGAGATTTATAGGAGAAGAGGGAAGAAGATAAGATGCAATCTTTACTAAGATTTGATGTTATCCTTAATATGATTAGATTTGATCTTTGTCTAGCCACTTGTCTAGTTAGTTACTTAGAGATAGAAATTAGATAACTAACTAGTTAGTAGTTAGTTATTAGTTAGGTGTAATAGTTTAGGAGGGGGAAAAAGGAAATCTCGAAAATAAGAAGAAGATATAAGAAATGATCTTGGCAACATGTCTTAATGAAATAAGTGCTTAATGATTTCCTTGAAAATTGTCTCAAGTATTTTTATCTTTTTCTTATCCCATGAAACTAGACACATTGTTCCTTATATGTATCACTTTAAGTCATGAGCCGATAACTAGTCATTCCCTAGATATTAATACATATGTATATATAAATACATGTATTGTTGGTACAAAATAACAATGTAGTTTTTGTGTATTTGCATTTAAATGTTTATGTTTGATTCTTTTATTCAAAAATATTTTTGATACATTCTAATTATACCTTATAATAATTCATTTTATATTTTATTAATTAAATAAATATTTATTGACTAAGGTATAATTCTGTGACATTTAACCGGTTAACAATATCGTTAAACAACTTTCGTCACTTTGGTCCGTATATTTGTTAAATTTAGATCCTTCACAACTATTAAACACAAGTTTTATATATAATTTAGCTTACTCATCAAATGGAGACATGTTGATATGGTAATTAAATTTGTTCCGCTCAAATGACGTCCAAAAAGGGGTTGCGGCACAACTTGTTGCTCGTTTACCCGCTACGTCTATGTAAAACTTTTTTCTTATGTTTAATATAATAGATTAGAAATTGATATTAAAAAAATGACGTTATATGCTAATTTTCACAAACTGGTGATGGTTCGTAGTTATACGTCGTAACGGAATTTATCATTAGTCACTTGTTTTATTTTTCACAAGAACTTATCTAGATAAAACATGTTAAATTCCTTCAACCATTTTTGATAAAATATCCATATTGCATAAAAGTCAAAACATAGTATCGTACAATCGTTCCTATTTTTGCCAATTGTGGGGGTCAACCCCAACCCATTCCTAAAACGGACAGTGAAGCAGGTTACACATATAGTAGTATATGATAAAATTGAAAATCAAAATGCATTAGCTTTTAATGATTATGATACAACCACCTATTTGAGAGAGAAGTGGGGTTGCTTCAAAGGGAATTGTATGAGCATATTCCTAAGAGCTCTTATAGGACCATGAAAGTTTCCATGACCATAACGAAAACATTAATGATGTCACACCCCAAACCGAAACGGTGGAAACGTTCGGGGGTGGATGACGTCATATGTATTATCACAACAATTGCATCATAGTAATCAAAGTAAACACAACCATTACATTGAATATATAAAAAGGTATTTACATCTGTTTGCTTCATATTTATATACATCAAAAGTAGCAAAATAAAGACGAGTCTCTATACGCTCCGTCTTCTCAAAAGTCTGCCAAAGTACCCGTCTACTGATTCCCACCAACTGTATTGTATAACATTGTTTTGAATGAAAATCCCTTTGTATGAAAACTCTGGCTATCACCAGTAATGTATAGAATGTTCTGTTTGAAAACCCTGGAATCCTCCAGTTGTATTATGAACTAGTTTTATTACTGAAAATAAAACTAACAAAGAATGAAATCCCGTAAACAATTGAGGTTAGTTTATGCTATTGTGAGTCGTATAATCATGCTTGATATGACCTAGTGACCTTTACGACGTTCTTCAAGTGTCGGATAAATGACATTTGTCACCCCAGGCATGACTGCCTAACTGTAGCTAGCAGTTCAGGTGTGGGATTGTCAATCCCGAATAGATCTATTCACAAATCTCACGTTCTCCCTCCAGGAGACTCTGGTTATACTATGATAGGATTTAACCTGTACCCCGAAAGGTACAATTGAAGTGTTGTCTCACAATCCTGTATTAACTAGTTTATGTATGGTTCTGTATGGTTCTTTTTTGTTTGAATCCGTGTGTATACTTTATACTTAAATAATTATTTAATTTTGTACTCTTGAAGTCCGAATGTAGTAATGTATATCATAAACTAAATCTGTCATAGTTTATATGTTTAGCAATGTATAACTCTGAATTCATGAAACTGTGTATTGAAAACCCCAAACTATACCTGTTATAGTTTGCATGTATGTTGTGTACTTGGCTCGTGTATTGGTCTGAAAACTATGCAATTTTGGTTGTGTGTTGAAAACGTCCCTTATGCTCAGCATGTTACAAAAGGGATAAAATATCTAAATATTTTATAAAACATGGAAATCTTGTGGCTGCATCAATTGCATAAGTTTTGAGCTTGTTGAAATTCTTTTGTATAAGCTCACAAAATCATTTGTGTTTGGGTGTATTCCCCCCGCCCCCTGAAAACCTGAAAAATCGTAAAAGCATAGGGGTATGAACTCCCTGTTGGTCGTGTGAACAGTTGGACAACGAAAACTGGGAGTGGAGACCCTCAAGCTGATGTACGCGGTACTCAACGGGATCCTAATACAATTAATACATATATGTATTTTATTAGTGAAACCATTATTTATAGTGTTGGAAAACACTTGCTTTCAGTTTAGGAATGTAACCGGGACTCGATTAAATCAGAAAAGTGGGTTAGCAGCCAAAATTCACGGTGTGAAGGAGTTTGCGGCCGTGATGGGTTTCCGACCGTGAACTGTTCTCGGCCGTGAACAGCCCCTTGAAGTGTTTACGACCTTTGAAGATTTGAAGATTTGATGGCTTTACGGCCGTAAACTCAAGAACAATGTTGTTAGATTCGATGAAAAACGTGTTTTAGATGTGCCAAAACAACCTCCAGAGGTGATTTTTGATGATTTTCGGAAGAAATGAGGGTGTTTTGGTGTTTACAGTCGAGAGGTAGAGAGACTTTTCGGCCAAGAAAGTTCAAATGAAGCTGGGTCCCGTATATATAGGCTGAGGGTATGGTCGGTGGTGGGGGCCACCTGGCACTGGCCGTAAACGGGTTTACAGCCGTAAATGAGTTTATGACCGTGAACACCACTCAGGCCGAAAACTGTAGATTTCTCAAAGAAAACTCGGGTTGTTCACGTGATTTTGGTTCCGACTCATATATCTAAAAATTCAATTATATAATTGAGTGATTTTCCAAACCAAAGGAATTTGACAGAACTCAATAAAATTCAAATTTTATTAACGGAATTTGGCTAACGATAAATGAAAAAGATTCGGGTTGTCACAAATGAGAACCTAACTAGGCCAAGGAGAATCATGTGAGACACATATTGATTGTTTATGAAAATGGAAGAACAACTCAAGGACATCAAGTCTACTAGTCCGCTAGTAAAATAAATACATATTTGAAGGGAATGTTCAAAAGGTAACGCCTACCTATCCAATGCATGATTTTACCATTGGATTTTATCTACTTAGCTTGAAGATGTTTGATGAATTTCAATTCATGTGGGGGATTGTTGGAAAATGAAATGGTGAATTGAAACTAATCATCAAAGTTGAGAGGTTGAATGATGTACAATTGAAAATTAACGTTTAATTTTCGGTTACAATTCGTAATTAAGAAAAATATTAAGTATAATGTCGGTTATAAATTGTGTTTTAATGTTATTTTAATTGTCTTGTCAGTTATGGTTTGTTATATAAATACAAATACTCTACAACTAATTTAGAGACACCACAGAATGGATCCAAACTCTCTTTTTCTCTGGTTCATCTTCTTTTGAGAATTCGGGCGGTCTAGGAGAACCATTACAAGTTGTTGTATGCTTGGAAACAAGCACCCAAGAGCCGACAAATTTTTTATAAGGACAATGTGTTAAACACATGCCTCAATCTTTTCTTGTTTGTTTTCGTACAATTTCGTAATATTGTTGCTACAATGTGTAGTAATAGTTGTTAGAGATATGCCTACTTACAAAATAAATTAGAAATGATACATTGGCATATTGGAGTGCATACAAAGTGCAATCTAAGTTCAAATTGGCTAAGAACACCAAATAGAGGAACTAGTTTTATTATTCATATAAATATGATTGTTCGATTAGAAGCTAACTACATAGAGTTTACTACTTTATTATTTATCATTAATTAATTACTATGATGGTTTCTTTTCTGTTACAATTCGTTATTAAGTATAATGTCGGTTATAAATTGTGTTTTGAAGCTAATTTAATTGTCTTGTCGGTTATGGTTTGTTGGGTTGTGGTATAAATACAAAGACTCTACAACTATTTTAGAGACACCACAAAATGGTTCCAAACACTCTTTTTCTCTAGTTCATCTTCTTTTGAGAATTCGGGCAGTCTAGGAGAACCAATTCAACGTGTTGTATGCTTGGAGACAAACACCCTAGAGCAGACTGATTTGTTTTAAGAACAATGTATTAAACACATGCCTTAATCTTTTCTTGTTTGTTTTCGTACAGTTCCATATTATTATTCCTACAATGCGTAGTAATAGCTGTTGGAGATATGCCTACTTAAAAAATAAATTAGAAATGATACATTGGCCTATTGGAGTGCACACAAAGTACAATCTATGTTCAAATTGCCTTAGAACACCAAATAGAGGGACTAGTTTTATTATTCATATAAATATGATTGTTCAATTAGAAGCTAACTACGTAGAGTTTACTACTTTATTATTCATCATTATTAATTACTATTCCTTAGTCCTTACTATATTTTGCACCAGAGGTGAGTCCCTAATGACACGGAAATTAGAAGAAAAACCTTAAAAACGAAGTATATGAAATCAAAGTTTAATAAATAAAAACTGTAAAAATAGGGATTCGATTACGTGTACGAGTAGCCCAACTTCGATCTGTTTAGAATGTGGAACTAGGGGCAAAAAAGGAATAATTTTTTAATAGAGTCATAAACTCTGTGCTTCCAACTTCTTTCACCTCCGCATTCCTCACCTACAACATGCAAAATACAACTCCCATTAAATCCAAGATAAATGATGTTTTATATAAATTAGGGAAAAATGGAAGAGCATTAACATACATCAAAAATTTAGAGATTCTGATTGTCTTGCTTAAGAAGAAGCTTTTCAATGAATTGTTCAATAAAATCCATTTTCTTGTTTCGATGAAGTAAATGATTGAAGTCTTTTAAAACCGTGCCATTGTCTATAGTGTAGTGTAACAAACGCAGCCTGGATATCAGATATTATTTTAAATGGTAAGGAAAGATGTATACCTATCTTGTGTAGAGTAGGTAAGCACCTTTTCATTTATATCATCAAACTCCACAAACCCGGGCCACTTTAAGGATTCGGGCTCGAAAAGAGGAAACCTTTCATCAGGTTTCCCTCTTTGTATGTATCTAGCATAAACAAGTAACACATAAATCATTTACTACTTTTTATATCTTTTTAAAGAAAACACATGTACATAAAAGGCTGCATTTCACTAGACAAGCTTCTAGGATTATTTTTTGTCCCATTGACATTAAAAAGTTGTAGTTTATGGAAAAATGGGACATTTGTAACACTGGGTACAAGTTTTGGGCTATTTTTGTCCAATTGACAAAAAAGCTGCAACTTTTATCCAACTACATTAGTCTAGAGCCTTATAAGAGTGTAGTGTCATGTTCTGTCATGTCATGTCTAACAAGATGAGGCAAAAGGAAGATATATAAAAGAAATGAGTAGATATACACACACTCTATTCTTATTGATCTGCATTTTAGTGAGCTGAAGTTATCCACAGCATATAATGAATCTGTAATGAATGAATCATTATTTTTATTATAAAACAATCTCCAGATGACTTCATTTGGATAGATATTCAAGAAACATATCCTCTTGTTTGTATCTGTATTTATATTAAAAACCAAGAAAATGTCATTATTACATACCCTTAAGTAGACAAGAGAAGGACCACATCATTAAGTATGGGAAAAACAAATGTTAAATCGCCAGAGAAGGCAAATAGATTAACACAAAATCAAAGTTTATAATATATTAATATCTAAATTAGGATTACGTTAGCATAATCAAGTGTTATTTTCCATAGCAAATCTTCATCATACATCGCATCAACCTACAAGTTATATTGTCCAGATGATCATTGCCATTAGGGATTTCCGCATCCAACATGAAAGAAGAAAAGAGATTGACTACTTTTAGTTATTTTGTTATTTAAACGCATGACAAGGGAGCCCTAAAATTAGTACCTGATCTCAAATTATATAGCTACCTCTTTAATTTTAGATAATTTTAGCTGCATAGTAGTGGAAACTAGCTGAATTGAAGAGAACTGAAGAAGAATAGAGGGTAGGATGGGAAAGTGACTATCGTCAAGCGGAAATTGCGAAAACGGTGGAGAGATTTCGTGATTGTAGAGGCACGATTGGATTTGGAAGAAATATCGCGTCTTTGAAGCTTTTTGAGCCTGTTGTTGACCGACAGCGGGTTGCTCCAGCCATGCTTCTTTGTAGCAACCACTCTCCTCCGACCAGCGCATAGCGGTGGTGGTCTACTCCCACCTCTACCCGTGCTGCTAGCCATCGTAATTCTCCTATTTCTGCTACAACCGCTACCACCAAACCCCTCCATATCCCTTCATTCAAATTTCACTAATTTAAAACTCAAGTCTTCAATTGCAATTCTAGCAGCAACAATAGCCGCATCTGCTAATTGCGACATAATTGATGATAACGATGGGGGTGATCCTTTCGCTCCTTTGGAGAGCTGAACATGAGAGAATCACAGAAGCATGAGAATGACATGTCATTAAAGAGGGAAAATGAAATCTTTTATAGTTCAAAAGGGTTGATATGAATAGTCATACACATCTATTAGGTATAACTATTGATATGAAAATTTATGATATGCATTACAGAGAGAATGACTTTGGAATAAGGCACATCAAAATTTTCTTTATAACACCATTGTCAATGATGTAAATTTCAAGTAGCTTGTGGTTATCATAGGGAAGAATATACAACTTAACTGTACTCACCAATTTCTTTAGAGATTTTCTGAGCCCAAGGGAAATTCCCTTTCTTAACGCATGATTTTTCATCCAAGTTATATTGATGGAAGTAAATTTAGGAAGATCTAAACTTAAAGCAACCAAATACGTGTTTTTTCTTAAAAGGGAAATCATATACACGAAGAAGATTTTAAATACATTTATAGATCTGGAGACTGGAGGCTATATGAAACCACTGAATATGGTTGCTAGCAGGTCGTGTTGAATAAAGCAATCATCAACAAAGCTACATCTAAGAAAAGAGAAACCCTCGAACAAATGACGAGAATGATGAGATTGAGAAAAAAATTAGATAACTGGAAAAATGACAGGGTATACTCTAGAGATAAGGAATTCAAAAGATTTGAGAGAAAGGGAGAGAGGGGAGGGTGTGTAATGGAAAAGTTGTGTAGATCCATGAAAGTTTTGTCACTATAAATACGTAGCTAGGTTTTGACCGTTACGCAACGATCATATTCTTGATAGTGTTATTTCAATTTAAATACAACTGCTATCACAACAACATTAAATTAGAAGAGTGACCGTTACCTAACGGTAAAAAACCCAAAGCAAAAGATGTTTATCATTTAAGATGGAATGCAAAAATAGAGAAGGACAAATTAGATAAAATTTTCACACTTTTGTTGATCAACGAGATTGTTTTTTTATTTTATTTTTTACTAATAACATCACACCACACCACTTAATGTTTTATTTTATTTTTCCAACCATTATTACTTTGTACAAAAAATTTATAGATAATAGATTTATTTGATTATGTGACATTTAAAAAAAAATAAAAATGGCATGTTGAGCTTTATCATTAGTCGTACCTCTATAAGATCAATCAAAACAAAAGAAAATCTTTCAATGGCCTTGACATTGTTGGGGAAATTAGAATTAGGTATAGAGAAATCTGGATAACAAACAGGAATCGTGTAAAACACTTTCCTTGTTTGATATTTCGACCCTATATGCCTTAGGTATCACGAAATCCAAACTGGGATAATTCCTGATGTAGCAATTCAGATTTTAGGCATAAAATCTGAATCAATTTTGAGAAGATGAAGAGAGCGTTTTTCGTTTTTTTGTGTTTCAAAACAGGAGCCGTTTTCCCTGATTTATCCAACAACGGATAAATCAAAACAATTTTCATTCTTCAAGAATTACAAATTAGACCTTGTATTGTTCTTAAAAAAACAGTTTTCATCTTTCTGAATCAATTTTGAGAAGATGAAGAGAGCGGGACCCCCGACTTGACACAGTAGATTAGGGTTCAGTGCTAACAATGTTTAGTAAATACAAGTGTGCACTCCCGCACCTCCTAACTTGTATTATAACTAAAACATTATTCTTGAAACACTTGTTAAGTCCATTACACTAAAATATATTTGGTGATAAAATCACCAACAATCCTCCCCTATTTTAGTGTAACCTTAAATTAACAAACTTAAAACAAAAGAAACGAAACTAATGCATAAATGAAAATATCGATACGATTGAATTTTCATGTTAGTATATTACACATTTCAAACATTCGAGAAATCAAGGTATCTTAAAGATTGAACCCATCAACTCTTTTGAATATCTGAAGATAATATACACATTAGTTTTACAATCATCTAAAACAAAATAACTTGACACTAATTATAAAGCCGTGTGTCCCAATCCATTCTTGATCGTATAAAAGCCAAGTCCCAAGCTCTTTGAAGTACGGCTACACTTCACGATCATATAGGTGATTCTTTTATTCATGTACCTGTATACATTTTATCAAAAGAATCATTAAGAAATCAAATTCATCCTGGTCTCTACAGGTTCAAACACACGTACCTTAGGATGGTTATAATGTGTGTTCCAATTCATATAAATAAGCTTTCCTCATTGAATTCAATCTCTAACATTGTATTAGAGGGGAATTGGGTGTCTCATTCATAAGAAATTACAAGGACTTTAAGCCGATCCCTATAACAGACTTGTGCACTAAGTCTCGCGCCAAACTCTTAGTGAGATGGTCCGCCAAATTTTGTTGTGATTTTACAAACTCAATCGATATCACACCATCTATCATTAGATTTCTAATAATCCTATGTCTAACATCAATATGTCTCGATTTACCATTATAAACTTGACTATAAGCTTTACTCAAAGTAGGAACACTATCACAGTGGATAGATAATGGCGCAATCGGTTTCCTCCATAATGGAATCTTATAAATCAAATTCTTTAACCATTCTGCTTCCTTGCTTGCAGCGGCCAATGCAATAAACTCAGATTCCATTGTTGAACTTGTTATACAAGATTGCTTCTTAGATGCCCATGAGATAACACCTCCACCAAGTAAGAATACCCAACCCGTTTTAGAAGAATGATCTTCTCTATTGGATATCCAACTCGCATCAAAATATCCTTCCAAGACTGAAGGAAATCCTGAATAACACAAACAATAATCCTTGGTTCCTTTCAAATACTTGAAAACACGATGAACCACTTGCCAATGTTGAGTACTAGGATTATGAGTAAATCTACTCAATCTTCCCACTGCGAAAGCTATATCAGGACGAGTGCTAGTCATAGCATACATCAAAGAGCCAATAGCTTGCGAGTACTCCAGTTGAGAAACTGATCTGCCTCTATTAGGCATCAACTTCATGCTTGAATCCATAGGGGTGCTAACGGGTGTACAATCACTGTAATTGAACCGTTTGAGAATTTTCTCAATGTAATGTGACTGTGTAATAGCAAGTCCCTTGTTCACCCGTTTAATCCTTATTCCAAGGATTACATCTACCTCCCCCATATCCTTCATGGAAAACTTTGAAGACAATAAATTCTTAGTTTCATTAATTTGATTTTGATCAGTGCCAAAAATCAACATATCATCTACATACAAGCAAATTATAACACCAGATCCAGATGAATCAAAACGGTTGTAAACACATTTTTCATATTGGTTCAAAGAAAAACCATTAGACAAAATAACTTCATCAAACTTCAAATGCCATTGTTTTGGTGCTTGTTTAAGTCCATACAATGATTTCACAAGTCTACACACTTTCTGCTCATTTCCAGGCAAAACAAAACCTTCTGGTTGTTTCATATAAACTTCCTCGTCAAGATCATCATTCAAAAAGGCTGTTTTAACATCCATTTGATGAATCACTAGGTTGTGAATAGCTGCTAAAGCAAGCAACAATCTAATGGTAGAAATCCGTGCTACCGGTGCATACGTATCAAAATAATCGATACCGGCCTTTTGTCTGAAACCTTGTATGACCAGACAAGCCTTGAATTTATCAATGGTTCCATCTACCTTCATTTTCTTCTTGAAAATCCATTTACATCCCAAAGGTTTAGAACCAGGAGGTAAATCCGATAACACCCAAACATTGTTCTCCATAATGGATGACATTTCGTCATCAACCGCTTCTTTCCAAAATGCAACATCTCGAGACTCCATAGCTTCCTTATAAGTCTTTGGATCAGTCTCAAGATGAGAGGAATAACAATATTGTTTCTTCACTTTATCCTTCGAACCTTCAACCAAAAATAGTTGAAAGTCCTCGCCAAAAATTTTCGCGACTCGACCTCGTTTTCTTTTACGAAGTTGCTGTGTTTCTGGAATTGAAACAACTTCCTTTCCATCTGATTTAGGCACCTCACTTGTTCTTGGAATCAGATCTTTTGGTCTTTGAATTGAAGAATACCGCAGCTCATCAAAAATCGCATCTCGCGACTCTCTAATGGTATGAACGGAATATGCCTCATTAGGTTCTATAACATAAAACCTATAAGCTTTGGAATGTTCTGCATATCCAAAAAATATACAATTAATTCCTCTTTCACCCAAATTTTTCTTTTTAGGTTCGGGTAATTTCACAACTGCTCGACATCCCCAAATTCAAAAATAACTCAAATTTGGTGCTTTCTTGTGCCAAAGCTCATAAGGAGTAACTTTGTTCCGTTTATTAGGAACCCGGTTTAGCACATAATTAGCTGTGAGCATAGCTTCACCCCAAAATCCTTCACTTAAACCCGAAAAAGAAAGCATCGAATTTACCATTTCCTTTAAAACTCGATTTTTTCGTTCAACAACACCATTTTGTTGTGGATTGTAAGGAGCTGTGGTTTCATGAATGATTCCAACCGATTCAAAGCATTCATAATCCATGTACTCTCCTCCCCTATCCGTCCTAATACATCTTATCGAAATACCCAACTGTAATTCGACTTCGGTTTTGTATACTTTAAACTTTTCCAAAGCTTCATTTTTGGAATGTAATAAATACACATAACAAAACCGACTTAAATCATCAATAAAAGTAACAATGTAATCTTTATTTCCCAAGGAAGGTGTGGCATGGAAATCACATAGATCAATACGAATCAATTCCAACACTTCTGATTTTCTATTAACGTTTGGAAACGGTTGTTTCGTGATTTTAGTTAACATACAAGTTTTGCATTTTTCAGAATTAATGTCAAAAGCT